CACATAAAATATGCATATATATATATATATATATATTTACTATTGCCTAAGAAGATAGTAGATATATTATATCTATTATTGCTATATTATATGAGATACAATGTTTCAGGAACCAGATTCTGTAGAGAAAGAGGCAGATTCTTATCAGACGGTTAACAAGTGGACAGAGACAAATTGTATATAAGGAGGAACTAACGCGGCGAAGACATACTATAAGGAGACAAGCATATTCTATCTGAGGACGCAACTGAGACAAAAGATTCTCTCTAATGAGACAGCCGAAACAGATTCTACAGCTACATACAGATAATAATATTGTCTCCTACGCAACAGCAACACCGCCTGAAAACATTACTATAAGATCCACCCTGTTGGCCCCTGTTTCTGCATGCAGTACTAGCACGATAAAAAACAATTCTGTTAACATATTTGTGAAGGACTCGGGAGCCCAGTATCACAACACCCGCATGCAAGTGAAAAGAAACATCAAAAAACACAAACTCTAGACAAAAACAAGAACAGGCCAATAAACTTAATCATTAATCCCTTCGTTCTTCGTTTGTCTGAAAGATCAGTGCGCTAAAAATATAATGAGATGAGGCTACATTCGTTCTTCGTTTGTCTGAAAGATCAGTGCGCTAAAAATATAATGAGATGAGGCTACAAAGACAAAACTGCGTGCAGCCTCAAAGCTCGACCGAAGTGAGCCGAGAAAAAAGAGCAGAAAAACAATGAAAGCAAATTATGTTCTCCTAGGGAGTAAAGGGGAGCATATGGCCGGGATAGCAGCTGCTTGCTTCCCTCAAACCCTAAACCCTAAAACCCTAGAGAGGCTCTGCATGCACCATGTGCCATCACTGTGCAAAGCTTGCATGCTTTTAAGGCAGAGACAACAAGATGATGTAATTGTTGCAGCGCTGTGTTATTGATGAGAATCGAAGACAAGAACTTTTCTCATGGCGCAGCTGCAGCAGGCAATCGTACTACAAGTGTGCTGCTTCTGTTGCTGCTGGATTCTCCTTCTTTTCTTTACTTTCCGTCTGGAGGCCTAACTGAGAAGAAAAAGCAGACAAACAAGAACATGCAGAAGACGTGTGCAGGTAGGAGCAGCACCAGAGAACTCCATAATAAGTGGCAAACCATATTGTGCAGAAACAATAAACGATGGTGTGTTGCGTCTCTAGCTGCTACACTTAGGGTGTACAGACAGAAAAACTTGTGCTGTAGTAATTACCAGTCAGCTTCACAATTATTCGCGTGCCATCCAAGCCACTTCCTCCGCTTTGGACTACGATGATGCTATAATAGGGACCTGTAAGAAAGACTCGAGGAAAAGAGAAATGAAGTATTGCTTGTAGCAGTCAGGTGTACATCATGCACACATTTAGAGCCTGCTGATCGTTGCATGCGGAAGAAGACAGGCAACTCCATATGCTAGAAAAAAACGGATTGCAGAGAGCAAACTCACCTTGGTCTCCCTCTGACGCCATGCGTTTTCCGTCTCCAAAGTCACCACCAAGTTGTGTGATTAGTTTGTCAATAGGATCAAAATCCGGCCACGTAAGCCCCACACGCTGCAAGCGGAACGCACGCATTCGACAGAAAACAAGCAGGTGTAAAAACAAGCAAAAAAGAGAGAAAGCATTCAACAATAAAATAAGGGATGCTAGAGAGAACCGCGCAAAAATCAAAAACAAAAAACATCGAGAAATAAGACAGAACAGAGAAACAGAAGGAAAAAAATGTAACATACCTCCACGCCTACTTCAGCGTGGGCACTTCCCCAAGGCCTTTCTATCATGTGGGTTTCTAAAAGAAGCACAAAAACATCAAAAAGGCGAACAGGTAGCGCATTGAACCCAAGTGTAGTCGAGAGGAAACTTCAACCTTTTTACACTTTCAGGAAAGGAAATAAAGAAGAACGATGAATTACCAGAGCCAATGTCCTCAGCCCCAGCAACTGTAAGCAAAACGCCTGTCAAAAAATCTTTTTCCTGTAAACAAGAAAACAGCGAAAAGTTGAAAATTTGCGGTGTTCGGACAACTGAACAGGCCAGCGGTGTGTTTCTGCTTTCTCTTGTGTTTCCTCGTGATATATCAGTGCTTACCTTGCGGTCTCTGTGCCTTGGAAACAAATTATCTGGATCGTGATTGCTTCCTTTGAGCACTCCTCTTAGTTTCTTCTGAAGACGCAAACGCACCCATTAACACTACGTATGCCGTCTAGAGTTTCTGTCGTCATGCTGCGAAACAAGCTTGAGATCATTAGTTCTATTGATTATATTTCTGTTTCGCTTTTTTTCACATTTTTTCGTATTCTTATCTATTTATTCTTGTTTACTTGTGAATCCTTTTTGCGCTCTCTCTCCCCTTTCTTCCAGTTCCGATTTTTAAAGCCTCCGTGTTGCCCCTCTGCCTCTGTCACAGCCGCGGCGGAAAACAGAAGAAACAGAAGAAAGAAATAGAAGACGAAACTCGAATTTCTTCTCTTCGTGGTTGCCATGGTTTCGGTGTAGCAGAGAGATGCCATTTTCAGCGGAGGGTGTAGTGCAACTTCACTACGCTGGCGTTCAAATCGGCCGTTTAGCGGTCTATCAAACAGAAAAAATTAGAACTCTAACGTTTAAAAAGAAATAAATCAAGTAACATTGAATGGAAAAAGAAGCCTTGAAGCTAAGACTGCTCAGCAAGGACACCAGGTCCAGGGTCGGCTGCAAGTAAGGTCGCACTGCCAGCCGGGCACCGCCCCACAAAGGGGTTAGGGGAGCAATTCTATTATTCTTGTTCTTCCTTTTTAAGGCCATAAGATGCAAATAAATTTTACAACAGTTTTTTTGTTATTTCATTTAATCAAGCAAGGATTCATTGTGTGTAACGATAGATACAACGTGTGCATCACCCACGCAGGTGTGCATAAAAGTAGTGGATGAGCCCGGTCCGGTCAAGAGAGTCTCGTCCTTGTCTTTGTCTTTGACAGTTTACTGGTCAATTGGAAAGAGTTATTATATTAAATTAACAAAAAACAAAAAAAGTAATCGCTGAACAAAGGTGAGAACTTCAAGGTAGAAGCGTCTTCCCGAGCCTCCCCTGGTAGGGCGCATTCATGTTATGTCTTTGTCGTTATTTCAGCAGAAACCAATTCCGAACAAAGTATAAATCGTAAACGATTAATAAACTAAAAGTAAATGTGAATTAATTTCAAAGAAACAAGAAAAAGAGTGCATACACCTCTAGATAAACGGTCAGGCCAGTGCTGCTAGTCTCGTTCGGTTTTGCAATGCTTACTGCTCCCCGCGTGAACGTATTTCCGTGACACTCCTGTAAAAATGTGTGATCAACTGTTTAAAAAGTGTTTTAATGTGTAATTTTATTTTTTATTTGTTTAGAATAATTTTTTTCTGCATTTACTCCATTTTCCCCCGGGTTTCCACGTCGAGCAAATGTTGAATTGTGAATGTGCAGCGCAGCGAATTCATCAAAACCATTTAAATGCGTGAAACAAAGGGTATAAGACATTTTGTAGACTTTATTTTTGATTATTTAGTTGCGTATTGTCTATTTTCCTCCATTTTAACTCCTTCTAAATCCTGTCTTCACCCAGCATCAAACAAATCACCACGATATGCATAGACCTTGAACTCGATTTCTGCGATGTTTTGTTC